AAACAGGGAAATAAGGTATTTCTCTTCTAAAATGCTACTTATAGATGCAGCTGAAAATGATATACATAATTTGGAAGATATATTTCTCAGAACTAACACAAATAGGAAGGAAAGTAGATGATCTCAATTTTAAGTTAAAATAGATTTCTGAAATGTGAGTAGAAGAGAGAAAAAGTTGCGAATTCATACTTTTGCTCAGCTTACCTTTCAAATCTTGCAGTGTCATGAGATGATCGCTCTGAAATTCTCAGAATCGTGAGTCTGCCTTTTGCTCCTGGAGAGCAGCTCTCAGCAAACGTGATTTGCACTGAACAGGCCAGATAAATTATCCAGGACATTCATAAGGTGAAATGAGATACACTGGAGAAATTTCCTGTAATGGGCTTAAGATTAACTGGGAGAAAAGTCTGAAAGATTTATCTGGCGTTGCTTGTGCCTTAGAGCAAGCAAAATCTAATTGCTAAATTAAGCAATACAAAGACTTTATTCTTTCCCAAATGTCAGCTGGCTTTTGGGAGTCATTTCAGAAGAACTTGTCATACTTCTTGCATATGAACTCAGCTCCAACCTGCAGCCCTACCCTCCCCACCATGAGTTTCTTCCTCCTGGCTGTAGGTACCAATCTGGCTGTGCTGCAGAAAGTAATGTCCAAAGTCACGGTGGCACAGCTATCCAGAATCTCACCACCTTTGAAATCACTGGAAAGCAAAGTGCAATACAGACACTGTACTTAAAAATCCATGCACCAAATCCTGCTTCTGTATTAAAATATGTTAAATTTTCCTAGACCAACAGGTACTTAAACACACTGTACAAAGCAGCTGGAATTGTTGTGGTAGTTTAGATCCCATGTTTTTTAATAAGAAAAAAAACAAGTCTTGGCTGTTGAGCTCATCAAGGGAAATAAACAGTCCCAGTACAATACATTTATTAATTTACAAGATTTCCTGCCTGAATGCTCAGGTAAAACTTGGTTCTTAACATGCACAGCTACACAAAGAGACTATTTGGATGTGTTTTATTGATCTGGATCTTATTAAAGTTAGTGTCTTCATTGAGAATTCTTGCAGGTAAAATGTCTCAGCCCACAGACTCTCCTGAGACTCCACAAGCTGAATCTTTTTGTAACTGGCTATTTTTCATTACAACTGATTTAATGTTCCCCCTGAGCTACTGATTCCTCTCTTGTTTTAATACTGTTCTATATTCAAGTGATATCTCAGATCTCTGAAAGTATCTTGGTAGCTCTTTCTCAGCATCACTTCCTGAGAAAACTGAGACATTTTTCTTGGTTTCAATAATTTAAGTGAAATTTTCCCTGAGCTTGCTCTAATTGATATGAACAAGAACCAATGGAGGAGCAGCAGTTTCTCACCAGTCTGTATATTCAGCTCCAGGCTGCTGCCTTTTAGGCTGGAAATTGTGGTACTCCACTGGCTTTTTCCAAGGAAAATGAAAAAGGAGTGTTGCAGAGCACTGCTCTGTGTACATGGCCCTTAACTCTGTTCTTACTCTTCAGCAGTCACAGCCCTTCGGGCCAGAACACTCCCTCTGGTCCAAGGTCTTGTGAAGGACAGGGCAGGGACCTTGGAAGGAGTTACTTTACTGGGAAGGGCTCAGTCTCCTCAAAAATTGTGGAATTCTGCTGCTGACATTTAAAAGGCTTCACTTTAAATGTTAATGGGACTTCTGGGAGAAAAATGAAGAATCTGGTAGGAATTGTTTAACTTAGCACAAATCTGAGGAGAATGAAGAAAATTCTTATATTTGTCTCAACAAAACCAGCCCCATCTGCCACAGCTGGCAGCTGCCCCCAAACTGGAACACAAAGAGATCCTGACTCTGACTCTGGATCCAGTCCTGGGGAGATTCCTTAAGGAAGAGAGCACAGGCCTGTCTGATTTACTGGGCTTCAGCCTGAACACCCCATTTATGGGACACCCAGAGTCCTGTAGGGAAATTTTAGAGAAATAAGTGGTGACTTGATCTCATAAAGGATTTTAATTTCTCCTTAGTTTTCACAGAAGGGAAATGATGCGTTTCCAGGGAAGACAGAAGGGCACAGGTTTTCCATGGTAGATTTTCCACGTACCCCATGCCTTAGGCCACTGAGCTAAAATCTCATTAGAGACAACACAGCATCTTCCCTGCTGCCAAATGATGTTTATTTACCACTGGGACAAAATGGGTAATAGCAGAAAATACTGAAGAAGCAATATTAGCTCATTAATTTATATTCAGTAATAAAAAGCTCTTTTTCTTCTGGAATGTTTCCCTCATTAAAACTAAGGCTCAGGGTAGGTTTTCCAGGCAAAATGCTGTGAGGAAAGGTCCCCTGTGTCCCATCCCAGAGGAATTCACATTGTGTGGCTGAGGATCTCAGTGGGTTAAGTGGGCACAGATCTGAAAATCACATCTGAAAATCACCCCTGAGCTCTATCAGCTGATGTATGGAAAATACATGGCTATTTAAACCAAAACTAGTAAGTTGTATTTTCTCAGTTGATGTTTATAATTATTTTCTTTACTCCCATTACATACAAGCATAATAATGTGTTTCTCATCAGGTCCACTCACATGTAGGCAGGCGACTCTCTACTCTTAATATAACTAATTGACAAAGAAACAGGTTTTTAAAGCTTAGTTTCTACATTTTACGGGTTATACCACACTTGCACATTCGGGAAGAGGATTAGAGATAATATTGTTTAAGCTTTTATCAGGTTTTGAGATAGGTGATATACTGCTGGGAGCTACTCTTAATTTATATAATTTATATAATTCAGACAGATACTGCCTTCAGGAAAAGAACCATATTCACTCTTAATGCAGGCCAGGCAGGTCTATCTTTATTTTCATCGAGCACACACGTGTGTTAGAAGTGACTTTATGCATTAATGCCACTGTATGAGCAGTATTTGACAGGAAGCAATGTTGTGTAAATGACAAAATACGTCGACAACCTGCTGTTTGAGCAGCTAAGCCCTCTAGCTTCTGTCCTCACATTTCTAGAATATTGTTCATCCTCAGGCATTGGTGAGGGTATCAGTACAGACCTTTTTACTGACGGTAAGTGCGTCTGTCCGAATGCTGCAGATTAACTAAGGATGTCCCATTAAACATATTAACTACTGCATTTTTTCACTAGCAACCACAAAGAAAATATGTCTTAACAAACTGTGTTCACTGGCCAAAACACCAGTAAGACCCTGTTACCAGTTAAGACTTCTGTTTTACTGAGAAACAAGGACTTCAGCTTAAAAATCTGATGAGAAAACAGGTTAGGATATAAGAGAAATGCACTAGTACTAATAAACTTTTTACATTTGACACATACTGTATTACAAAGACAATATCCTTGTAAGACCATTAATTGCTGGGCCATAGGTGACTTCTGTCTAGGTTACTAACTAGCTAATAAACCTTGTATAGAGCCTTTTTTAGATAACGCTTCCATGTATGAAAATGTATGACACCCTTGTACTATGGCTTGCACTTTACTTGCATTAAACTGTGAAGTAGGCTGTAGTAATGTCTTTGTATATTCAGGGGTTGAAATGCCAAAGCACTGGAGTATCGTACTGCTGGTGTTCAACCTGTCCCACGTGTGTTCTGCAAACCCCACCGACTCAAACCTCTAGCAAATAATGCTCTGGGGTCTCCATGGTCTTTGTTTCTTTGTAAATAGAAACATTCTTACTGTTTCTGTAGCAATAGGAGGTTATAAACCAAACTTTCACTAGGACTGTTTTCAATAACAAAAAAAAAAAAAAAAAAAAAGAATAAATCTATAGCGCCTTGTATAAAAATCATGGAGACTCCATGACCTGTGGGCATTTTTGTTTACAAGCAGTATGTATATATGTATTAGTGGCAGAACTGTTATTTATCACAAAGTTATGTTGTGGATGACTCTTTCTTAAATAAAAATATGTTCTCTGTCATTAAGAAAAATTAAGTATTTTAGAGCCATCTTGAGATGTTTGAAGTGTCAAGCTTCAAATACGAGCAATCTTCCATGTTTCAGCCTTGTTTTTCTAACCAGAACTGAGAGGTAATGGCAAACCCCCTGTCCATGCCAGGGAAAATGTCGGAGTTGTAAGTTTTTTGAGCATTCTGCAACTTTTCTATAATGCCCATCTTGCTTAAGCGCTTTTCTGAGCAGATACTCCACAGTAAATCCTCAGCTCACAGATGCTACAGAGACAAAATTAACTGCTTAGACTAATACAGGTCAAACAAGGTTTCAACCCCTGGATAATACAGTATTTCTTCAGTTTCCCAACAGTATTTTTAATTTTATACTTGTCTATGTTGAGAGATGACCCAATAGTTTCTATAGGCAACGAAAATTAGGTTTCTTTTCTTCCCTCTTTCCAGATGAGTTCTGTGTGAATTACTGTAACCGGCTGCGTTTTTTCTATCACAGATTATTAACTTGTTAACTTTTTGTGTGTCGACAATGAAAATTTATGAATGGAAAACTTCACTGTGTGTTGCTCACTGGGCATATACCTCATGGTACATTGCACAGACGTGTAAGTTGTAAGTTGCACTGCAACATTAAAAAAAAAGGAACATATTGCTCTTTTTTCAAAGATATTAACTTATTTAAGAGATATAGTCTGTACATTATTAAAAAAGAAAAGAAAAAAAAAACATTTATTCTTCCTAAATTCAAACAAAGCTTTTGTTTTGGGAGGGTTAAAAAAACAAAAACAAAACAAACAAAGTTGTAAACTTCAGTTGTAAATCTGGACTTCAATAAACGAATTATCTGCACTTAGATTGCGTGTTTAAGGATGTTTGTGGGG